TTTAATTGAGACAGAGTCTCACTCTGTTGCCCAGACTGGAGTGCAGTGGTGCGATCTCGGCTCACTGCAACCTGTGTCCTGGGTTCAAGTGATTCTCCTGCCTCAGCTCCAAAGTAGCTGGGATTACAGACGTGCACCACCACGCCTGGGTAATTTTTGTATTTTTAGTAGAGAGTATTTTGTATTTTAGTTTCGCCATGTTGGCCAGGCTGGTCTGGAACTCCTGGCCTCATGTGATCCACCTGCCTAAGCCTCCTAAAGTGCTGAAATTACAGGTGTGAGCCACTGTGCCCGTCCTAAGCACTATGCTTTTTAATCCCCAGCTTGTGAGATGGAAAACATTTCCCTCCATTTAACAACCATGGGAAACTCAGAATTAGGTGGTTTAACCAGCATCATATGGCTAGTGGGATAAAGTACAGATCTATTTTGAGAAGTATACATTCATATCAGTACACTAATTTGTCACTTTTTTGACCATTGTTTCATTCTACATGTCTGTAGATTATGTCCCTTATGTCAATGCTGTTGATTCAAGGTGGAGTTCATATGGCAACGAGGCCACATCATCAGCACACTATATTGAAAGGTAACGTTTTTCTTAATTCTATAGGATTCTCCATTCTCAGACTTGTATGTATCTTAAGAGTACACATCCTACCCCCAGTTCATGAAATGTGCTTTGCTTGTCTCAGCTATGTAACAAATTTCTGAAAAATATTTGCATTTAAATTTGGAATGACTGAAGTTTTCAGGGTTGATCTGTCACATAAAACATATGGTTATTACTGCTTTTGTTGCTTCATTGACTTAACTTTTATTACAGTAAACATATTTCTCTTTAAAGGGACAGATTCATTGTTACTGATTTATCTGGTCATAGAAAGCATTCCAGTACTGGGGACCTTTTGAGCCTTGAACTTCAGCAGGTAGGCTCTGTAACTTAGCTATGAATTTTTAAAAAATAGAATGCCAGTTGAAAGCTATGGTTGGAAGCTAACTTTACTTTTCTTTCCTCCTCATATAGGCCAAGAGCAACTCATTACTTCTTCAGAGAGAGGCCAATGCTTTGGCCATGCAACAGAAGTGGAATTCCCTGGATGAAGGCCGTCACCTTACCTTAAACCTTTTAAGCAAGGAAATTGAACTAAGAAATGGAGAGGTAAAGAAACTGAATCTTTCGGCTTCATGCTTAATGTATTTGTTTTCTGCTGCTGCATCTTGGTTATACCATTACTGAGTGTATTTTGGTGTGCCTATATCTCTGATAGATGATCGATTGCTTTTAAAACTCATAATAGAAATAAAATTGTAGTCCTAGATTTCTTAAATAATTCTTTAACTAGATCATTGAAATTTTTTTTTTTTTTTTTGAGATGGAATCTTGCACTATTGCCTGGAGTGTAGTGGCACAATCTCGGTTCACTGCAGCCTCTGGCTCTCAGGTTCAAGTGATTCTCCTGCCTCCCGAGTAGCTGAGATTACAGGCACCCACTGCCATGCCCAGCTAATTTTTCTATTTTTAGTAGAGACAGGGTTTCACCATGTTGCTGGTCTTGAACTCCTGACCTCAAGTGATCTGCTTGCCTCACCTTCCCAAAGTGCTAGGATTACAGGTGTGAGCCACCGTATCTGGCTGATTATTGGGATTTTTTATTTTAATTTAAAAGGGAAGCCCCAGGTTCCACAGGTATAAAATCAGTATTTTTCTTAGTTACAGAGTGATTATACAGAAGATTCAACAGATACTAAACCTGATAGGGATATCGAGTTAGAGCTTTCAGCACTTGATACTGATGAACCTGATGGACAAAGTGAACCAATTGAAGTAAGTGCCACAATTAGATAATTGAGAGGCTTTGTTCGATTGAAAATTTAAAAGTATAAACTACTTTGATACTGAAGGATTGACATTTTATTTTCTTAGGAGATCCTGGACATACAGCTTGGTATCAGTTCTCAAAATGATCAGTTGCTAAATGGAACGGCAGTGGAAAATGGGCATCCAGTGCAGCAGCACCAAAAGGAGCCACCAAAGCAGAAGAAACAGAGTTTAGGTGAAGACCATGTGATTCTGTGAGTGTTAGACAGAAAATTCATAAACAGTGGGCATAGGACATAATAAAGAGAAAAAAATGTTAAATTCATTTTTGGCTTTATGCTGTAAGGGGAAGACCTTTTGTGGGCAATGATTTGGTCAGTCTGAATTTTGAGGGGAGAAAAAGTAAAATTGAACTAACAAACCAGTCCATTTTGGTAGCCTGAAACTTGCTTTTTGTTGAGATAAAG